GTGAAAATCAATGATACTCCCTGTACCTGATATCCATATTTTTCACAAGTAAAAGTACATATGCTGTTCTCTCATTACCTGTGAGAAGTTAAGAGATCTAATGGTACTGTCATGGGCCATCGCTGGCTTAAATATTTAATAGTTTTTTTTCTCAATGATTCAATTCAGAGATCGCTCGGATTTATCAAATCAAAAGCGACATAGCATGAAAAATGTAAATAAAAGCTGCATTATAGAAATTTCAATTTCAGCCTCGGTTTTGAGGGTCAGACACACCAATGTATCTCTGCATGGTCTACCAACGATTTTCACTGAAGGAGTCTCGCATCCTTTCCTCCAACAGCCAGGCAACCTGAACAGTAAAACAGGTATTACCTGATTAAGGGAAATAATTTACATATCAGGACCCACCTGTGCTTTTAGTGTCATCACCTGCGAAAAAGAAGAGCACATTTATAGTTATGTCATTTTCAGTTAAGATCTGTTTAAGGGAAACGGTGACTTTATAGCCGGTGATATGCAAGAGAATGGTACAGAGGCAATTCAGTGATCTATGACAGTTCCTGATAAGACGGCATGATAGGCTCGATTTCCGCCGCTCTCTCGTGTCAGGTCTAAGTTTCTCCCCTCTGATCGGCTAAGACTAACAAAAGAATCCTCACGCGTCCAACCGTGCCTTCGGGAGAGGAGCGCGCTCCTTTCCCCAAACAACAGCGGCTGGTAATCGAGCCTATGGGATGAGTGTGTATACCATTTGACAGTATCTGAAGACCTGCTAGTGGAAAGGACTGTTCCTTCTCGTTTCTCACCGAAACGACGGTGTATTTCATCAAGGAGCATGCGTATGGAGCACGAAAGCCAATGGTACAGTGATTTTCCGACAAATTCGGTAAAAACGAGAAAAGAAGAATACTTCTGCATGAGGGTATTCGTGGTCGTGGTAATCGTGACTGTGGTGGGGGTACAAGTAAACATACCGTTATAATTCGATTTAGCACCCTCCTTCCAATAAGCGCCCCCTTTCGAATAAGCCCCCCCTCCCCCCTCTGAATGTGTTTTTATTAATAAGCACCCTTATTCCAATAAGCGCTACTATTCTAATATTATAATATTACAGTGCCGTCAGAGTACGTATCAACGGAGCTTCATCTTCCTTTAATTGCTCACATACGTAATCCTGCATTGCAAACACAGTGGTCTCCTTCTGAGTTTCTCAACTATTATCTCCATGTGAGTGCATAATTCCTTCAAACCAATAACCCATATCGGCGTCGAAATAGATGAAAACTCTCTCACTTTAACTGAACATTCACCGTATATTTGTTACTGTTACAATTTCTGTTATTGTTCCTTGTTTAATAAATACCGTATTAAAGTTTTGTTTTGAGCATTCGGTTGGTTCTCAAAAAAACAATAAGCGCCCTGTCTCGAATAAGCGCCCTCCTCTAAGGTACCAAAAGTAAATAAGCGCCCCGGGC